ATAAGCTAAGTTGAATCATTTTAATACTTAGGATTCTCACTAGTTTTGTCTTCAGTTTGTGTCGGTTTTGCTTCTCTTGGCTTTTCTCTTGTATTCGAGGAAAGGGCTATCTCTTACAACTGCACGTGACTACACGCTTCAGGTTCTTCCTCACTTGACTCAACCACAAAGGATTCTGGTGCTTTAGGAATTGGTAGCCCCTCTCCATGAGGAACTGGACGTATTGCCGATGGAATATTTGGATAGTGCACAGATAACTTTTTCTTCTTATTTAGCCCTTTTACAATTGGAGGCACCATACAAAAGTAACAATTACTAACATGATCTGTTGGCTCTCTCCAAATCATTGGCACAGCGAAAGGCATAGATGCCTTTTTTCCATTCAACCATTGCTCCAGTGCCGTCCCACAAGAATTGCAGCATATATGTGGTGCCCAGCTCTTGTCCTGGTCTCCTATCTTGCAGCCAAAATACAAGTTGTAGGCTTTCTTAATCATTCCTGTTATCCTCCTTTTTTGTGAGATAAAAGTTATTTCACCGCAGATATAGCAGAAATTATCTGCTTTATTCACACAAGTTCGAGGCATTACTGAGTAGCCTATATAAGCATAAAACGAAATGTAAAGACGCTGTCGAACTACAATCAGCTACAGATACTGCAGCTTTTATGCAGTGAAGTGATGCAATTAAAGGCTAATATTGCATCATCTCAGTATACATGCAATTTTCTATTGGTCACCAGTATCAATTGCGCAATATGCACCTGAAGTTGCATCATAATTTTGAATGGCTTACGTCATTAGATGGGTGAATATATCATGGAAACTAGAGCCAATCAACATTTTTTAGGGTCATTTTCGTTTTCAGCACCCCAAAATTATGTAAGATTAGCTAATTTTATGCCCAAAACTTTTTACCTGTTGAACAGTGTAATCAGCGACATATGTTTGTTTATTTTTGGATTAGATTGTTTTCTTCCCCTTACTACCTTCTTGTACAGGTAAGCCCCGTTAATATTCATATGTTTTAAACGGCGCTTACTAGCCTTTGGAACATTGTGTGTATTGTATTACCTGTACGACCCTTCTTTATCAGTGACTCTTTACAGTGCCGAATGAGATCATGTCTCCAATATAAATAAATAAATAGTAAGCTGGCAACAGACATGAAGTAACACTGCTGCTGCGCATGCCTGCTGAGACACAGTACCCTCTCTTATCTCCTGTTACTAAATAAGCCAGTTGGTGAGGTCTCTAGAAAGCTTTCATGAATGTAGAAAGCAAACGTGAAGTATGGTGTTTGAGAATATGACAGCAATTGGACCATCTCACCAAGTCTTGCGTGCTTCAGTCTTTCCCAATTTATGAACACTTTAGGAATGATGGACGCCTGTACAGTAGGAGTATGTCATTGTTGACTTCTTTTGCATGGCGCTATCCAGATAATCTAATAACATAGTTATAGTTAGTCTGGCTGAAAAAAGACAGAAGTCCATCCAGTTCAACCATTAAAAAAAAAAAATGAATTCTAATCCTATACCCACAGTTGATCCAGAGGAAGGCAAAAAACCCAGCAAAGCATGAACCAATTTGCTTCTGCAGGGAAACCTTCCTGATCCCCCGAGAGGCAATCGGATATTCCCTGGATCAACTTTACCTAGAAATGTTAATCTCCGGTTATATTCTGTGTATCTAAGAAAGAATCCAGGCTTTTTAAAAGCAATCCACTGGGCTGGCCAGAACCAACTCTTGAGGGAGTCTATTCCACATTTTCACAGCTCTCACTGTGAAGAAACCTTTCCGTGTTTGGAAATTAAATCTCTTTTCCTCCAAACGTAAAGAGTGCCCCCTTGTCCTCTGTGAGGACCTCAGGGTGAATAGCTCTACACCAAGTTCACTATATGAACCACTGATGTATTTATACATGTTGATCATATATCCCCCCTTAATCTCCTCTTCTCAAGAGAGAATAAATTCAGTTCCTCTAATCTTTCCTCATAGCTGAGCTCCTCTATGCCTCTTATCAGTTTGGTTGCCCTTCTCTGTACTTTCTCTAGTTCCCCAATGTTCTTTTTGTGAATTAGTGCCCAAAACTGAACTGCATATTCCAGATGAGGTCTTACTAATGATTTGTACAGGGGTAAAATGATATTTCTCTCTCTGGAGTCTCTACTTCTTTTAACCACTTGCCTACAGGGCACTTATACCCCCTTCCTGCCCAGGCCAATTTCCAGCTTTCAGCGTTGTTGCACTTTGAATGACAATTGCGCGGTCATGCAACACTGTACCCATATGAAATTTGTATAATTTTTTTGTGCCAGAGCTTTATTTTGGTGGTATTTAATCACCTCTGGGTTTTTTATTTTTTTCTTAAACCAAAAACCACTGAAAATTTTGAAAAAAAAAAAAGTTTTTTCTTCGTTTTTGTTATAAAATTTTGTAAATAAGTGATTTTTCTCCTTTACTGATGTGCGCTAATGAGGCTGCACTGATGGACACTGATAGGTGGCACTGATGGGCACTGTTGAGAAGGCACTGGTAGGTGGTACTGATGGGCATTGACAGGCATCACTGATGGGTACTGATAGGCAGCACTGATAGGCGGCACTGATAGGTGGCACTGATAGGCAGCACTGACTGGCACTGATAGGCGGCACTGACTGGCACTGATAGGCAGCACTGACTAACACTGATAGGCGGCATTGATGCACACTGATAGGCGGCACTGACTGGCACTGATAGGTGGCACTGACTAGCATTGATAGGTGGCACTGATGGGTGACACTGAAAGGCAGCTCAGATGGGCACTGATATGTGGCATTGATGTGGCACTGAAATGTGGCACTGATGGGCACTGGCAGGTGGCATGGAAGAGCACAGAGCTGGCACTGATGGACACTGAGAGGTGGCACTGCTGGGGTTACACAGATCATCAGGGCACACTGATCATCAGTGCTCTGATAATCTGTGTAGATGTCCCCTCCGAGGAATGCCGATTACCGTCTCTCCTCTCCTCTGGAGCTGTCGGCGTGACAGCTTGTGAGGAGAGAAATGCCGATAACCGGCATTTCCGTGTTTAAATGTGATCAGCTGTGATTGGACACAGCTGATCACATGACCGAGCCGACATCTTCGGCTCTTTCCATAGATTGGTAATCTGCTGTGTCCGAGGGGCACAGCGCACCGCCGATTGCCGTGCTGCGCGCTCCCGGAGCCGCACATGCACGGTGAGAATGGGAGGACGTCATATGACGTCCTTCCAGAACGAGAGAACCACCTTGCGCCCGTCATATTACTATATGGTGGGCGGGAGCCGGTTAATACAAGAGAGGATTTTGCTGGCTTTAGAAACTGCAGCTTGGCATTGCATGCCATTATTAAGCTTGTGATCTACCATAACTCCCAGATCCTTCTCCACCATTGATTCCCCCAGTTGTACCCCCCCCAGTATGTATGATGTATGCATATTTTAGCCCCCAAGTGAATAACCTTACATTTATCAACATTAAACCTCATTTGTCACATAGTTGCCCAATTAAACAGTGCATTGAGGTTGGCTTGTAAGTTGAAGACATCCTGTAAGGACGTTATTCCACTGCACAGCTTGGTGTTATCTGCAAAGACTGAAATGGGATTTTTAATACCAGACCTCGTATCGTTTATGCATCTATTAAAAAGTAAGGGTCCCAACACTGAACCGTGGGATACACCACTGACAACCCTAGACCATGCAGAGTATGAATCCTTACCCACTACTCTTTGAATAGGATCTTTTAGCCAGTTTTCTATCCATTTACATACAGATTTTTCCAAGCCCGTAGACTTTACCTACCTTACACATTAGCCGTGTGTGGGGGAACTGTGTCAAACGCTTTTGCAAAATCCAAGTATACCACGTCTACCGCAACCCCTCTGTCCAAGGTTTTCTTCACCCCCTCATAAAAAAACAAATCAGATTTGTTTTGACAACTTCTGTCTTTCATGAATCCATGCTGTCTGTTGCTTAAAATATTTTTTTCCAGCAAGAACTCATCTATGTGGACTTTTATTTAAACTCTCCAGTATTTTCCCAACTATAGACGTTAAACTAACAGGTCTATAATTACTTGGTAAAGATTGACCCTTTTTAAATACAGTATTGGCACCATATTGGCCTTACGCCAATCCAGTGGTACTATGTCCGTCATTAAAGAGTCGCTAAAAATTAGAAACAATGGCTTTGAAATGACAGAGCTCAATTCTTATATTGTTTAATAATGTCAATTGTTTCAAAGTCACTGACTCGGAACAAGCATGCCTATCACATTAGGAATTCTAATCTTACAAGCTGCTTGCATGTTTTGGGTCAAAGACTCCAGAGGCAGTCAGGCAATTCAACATTTCGGATGTAGGCCAGAAATGTCAACCTGCATAGTTATTTCAGAACAGGTTTCATTCTATACATATATTAGCTGATAAAGGTCTCCAATATTTAATGATCATTAAATCGTAATGTTGCTTTGAACTGTGCTGCCATTATATATCCATGATAATTTGCTTGAAAAGGTAATGAAGTGCGGGATTACAAAAGAACAAACCTCTTTACTCACCTATGTGGCCAGATGCTGTAGCTGTCCTCTGCCAGCTCTAAGACCAAGAACCAAGCGCTCACATGAGGTGGGGCGCTGAGAGGCTGTGCCAGCTGCCAGTCAGACATCTGTGTGGATCCCGACAATATAGTTATGATCCTGCTAGAGCAGCCCGCTGTTGGCTAAATCTGGGTTACAAGAGTACAGAACGAAGTGCACTCCTGTGACCCACATCAGACGTTTTTAAGGGTTTTTTTTTTCCTTTATTTTACACAGTTAGCCTGTCAGTAACATACTTTATGTCCTAGGGTGACCATGCTCACTTACTGTACTGTATTTGTGAGGGAACAGCTTCCATAAAGAATCTAGCATTTGTTGATCAATTTGAAAGAACTTATGACTACTATATATTTTTTTTTTTTTTCCCTTCTAGGATTTGACTGGAACCTGGTTTTCAAGTGGGACTATATGACTCCAGAACAAAGGAGAGCAAGACAAGGAAATCCAGTAGCCCCCATTAAGTAAACACTTTTTTTTCTATGCCATCTTTAAATTTGTTTTTGAAGAACTGTAGAAATGGATTGTTTCTCTCATACAGCACATATACACACACTGGGGGAAACTTGAAAAGCATTGCATACAGACTGTGTATGTAAATAATAATTTCAGTGTCCTAAATTATTTACAGTTGGCATTGTTGATGGTTTAATTCATGATGCTTACACATGGATAGGTATCTTTATTTTTGGCCATGCGACTGTTTTGTTTGTTTTTTTTTTTTTTTGCTTTGTTTTGTTTGTTTTTTTTTCAAATCTTGGATACTGTTAATTTTTAATATTTTAGAAAATAAATATTCTGGATATAGCTTTGTGAATTGATTCTTAATATATCATTAAATTGCATTTCCTATACAAATTACACCGTGTTGAAGTAGCAGAAAAGCTCAGCAAGACTCTAAATCTCATACTATGAAATATATTCCCAATTCAGTCACAGCCACAAGAAATACAATACAGTACAGGGTTATAGTCACACACTGAATTTTCTTGGTATGAATGCATGTTCACTGTGTTGGTCTGAAATTGTGGAAGATTACCTTATCCATTGCTGATCGTTTTACTAGAATCCACAAAATAAGTTGTTGTAAATACTAATATGTAATTAAAAAACAGAGTTCATCCTTTTGTGAAGCAGGCAGCATTTTGTCCACTGCTGTATCTTCCCAGCTGGAAAGTCTAAAGGGGAGATTTCCCCCTCATTGGAACAGGCTTTATGGATGGAAGGCATGGCACTAATGTAGGAATTTTTCCCTGTCGAGGTCCCATGCGGGAAGCAAAACAAGATGTTTTATATATCTGTTGTGTGGGACATTGGCTGGCAGGATTGTGGATGATGTGTGTGTGTTTTACTGTTATATAAAAGCCGAAGTAAACCTACATATTTGATGGTTTTCCAAATCTATTACATTGAAGGCATGCCTTAAAGCAGGACTACAGGCACCTCCACTCCAGCACTGTGGTGTCCTTTAGCTTCCTTACTGGCCGCTGATATCTTCAGCAGGTCTTCATCCGGGTTTAATTTATTTTTCTGCTTTGATTGGCTTGGGCATTTGGACGTCAGTCCCACGTATGCACGGGAGTTAACTCACCTCAGTAGATACATGTAAAGCTCAGTGTACAGTTCAGACAGGCAGGTAAGAAACTTTAATGTCGAAGAGATGTCTTTTCTGCAGAAGAAACCTGCCTTTTTGCAATGTTTTTAAAAATTAAAGTTACTCTTTAAAGGATAACTTAGTTACTAATGTGTTTTTGTCAGCGCTCAACCAAACTGTCAAGTCATCTAATGGTTGTTGTCAAAGCTGGTCATATGTTCAACACCATGGCAACTCTAGATCAAACAGAGGCTAAGATGGCAGATCCCTTTACTGTAAAATTTAGGAGGATTTCTTCCACTAGAATAGAGGCTTTGGGTGGGCTCTGTTCCTAGCTTCCACATTTTACCTGGTAGCCAGATTATTAGTCTCAGATGTGCACAGGCCTTTATATACTGTTGTTCGCTCACTGCTAGCAGAATACTAAAAAAGATACAAGGGTTTTCAGTCTGCTTTGGGGAACCCATTAGGGGGCACCCTGTTACGAAGGAACTGACCTTCGTTTAGTTACTTGCACGGGCAAGCAGATTTTTTTACTTGTTCTGTGCTGTGGAATTGTAGAAAACCTTGTATTCAAACTGCATTGCTGCTTTGCTGAGTAAAAGTGCAGAACAGACCTGCTTGGACTGTTTCTAGGTGTCCTGTCCCTTGTATGGTTTACTGCTGTCAGTACGATATTTCAGCTGAACAGTATTTCAATAGATATCAGATGTGTAAATTGGAGTATCCCAGTGATTTAACTTCCTTGGGATATAATGGGGTTGATAAATTGAAAAAGCAGAGACTGTTCATATATATCTAAGTGAATGTTCATTTTGCTAAATGAACAGTACCTGTCACTTATTTAAAATAATAAATGAAAGCTTTGTTCGTTTTTGAATTTTTTTTTTTTTAAATAAATATAATCTTTATTAAGGCTAGGTTCACACTGCAGCAATCCGATTTTGATTAGACTTGCAGTGTGAGATATATATATAGTAATTCCTATGAAATGTTTTGGCCTTGAACCCTTTGTTGTCATTTCTCTAGGCTAAAGGAACAGAGTCACAAGACATAAAGCAGATAAGAAGTGTTTGTGAGATTGAACTTGTTTGTGAACATCTAGAAATGTTACATTAGACTGCTTAAGTTAGATAAAACTTGTTTATGCAGTAAGAAATGTTTATTTGCTTGTGCCCTCCATGTTGGGGGTGTTCGATGAGAAGCTGGCTTGTGGCAGAAGTGTGAGATTGCTAGATAAGTTGTTTGTCCAATAAAGTGGCTGGGTGTGACTCTGTTATCCTCATGGGATTTTTCTGCTAGCTCCTCCTGGAGTGGGCATGGTGCCCGCCCATTTTGGGAAAATCGCCAAAAATGGTTCACAGGATATTTAAAGGGAAGCCTGGACACTGTGAAATTGAAAGCCTTCCCATGCCAAAGGGTACGCTGGGACTCTTGCCAAGGCTATATGGGCTCGTCGATTGGTCATGTTTATGGCTTCTCCGCGATCCCCTGTGCACTGTTCCGATGGGGTCTCCTTCCCATCTTTCCATAGCTTTGGTAATGTATTAATTCTATGCTGTGATGCTGTCAAAAGATGTGTGTATTTCATGCTGTAATGCTCACTATTAGTGGTGTGTGTTATTATGCAGCTTGTGATGACTATAAGATATATCCTCCTGTTTGTTGTGTGATAATAAAGGTGGAGGTTTTGTCAGTGCAAGAATGCTGCAGTTGGATTCTGTTATTTTTTTGGGGTGCCGAGTGAATGCTATGACGTGCCCAGGCAGGTGTTCACTTGGTAGTGGGTCTCTCACTTGCTTAGAATAATGGTATAAGTGCTGGCTAAAGGACCTGTGTATTGTATATAACTTGTTCTTGGTGATTGTGTCCAGCCTTGTATTACATACACATATAAAATATTATATAGTATTACAAAGTCACGTTGATTTTGAACGGATGCCAATGAAAACCATGTGATTTCCATTGTCATGTGATTCTTTGTGACTCAAGTTGGATCTGAAATTGCACAAGTGTTAACCAGGCCTTAAAGTTTTTGCAATAAAGTACAAACATACCATACCTGAGGAAGATTGTCATAATCGCATACATTAAGTGTGTCCTATGAACATGTTATCATTTGAGAGTAGCATTAAGAGGGTCATACACTACAAAATCAGACATGTCTATTAGTCTTGAGTATAATAGAGAAGGTATGGTAATAAAACCATAAATTGGAACTGAAAACAATATTGGTGTAGGTATTAATATGCTTCTAACCAGCTATTGCATCAGTTTTACAATAACCGCGATCAGAGAAATGTCAAATCGGCATGTGAAAACTAAGCGTATATTAAGTATTCTCATACAGTGTATGATAGCGACATAAGTAATTGCACTAGTAAAAAAAAAATATATCAACAATACACAGAAATCTTTTTTTATTTGATATTTGGCTTTTAATGCCACACTCTAATATTTAATAAGTACTAGCTAATGTCTCCCTGCACCTAAACCTACTTGGTTATGAGTGAAAACACACGTAGACTATCTGTTTTATACATTCTTATTTTATTTTATTCTGATTAAACCATTTACAGTCCTTACTGTAAATTTTATTTTTTTCTTTCCAGAACGCCAATGATTGCTGGTGGGCTGTTTGTAATGGACAAGTCATACTTTGAAGAGCTGGGAAAATATGATATGATGATGGATGTTTGGGGAGGTGAAAATCTAGGTATGTATATTGTGCCCAGCTGTATGCCCTGAACGCTGTAGACAACCAATGAATAAGGGCCTGTGTTGACAGGCTTTCAGCTTGTGTTGGCGTCAGTTTGAGATAACTCTGAGATCATTTAGAATGAAAGGTGCATTTGACCTGCAGCTGACCTCATTCTTACCAATGTCAAGTGGGTTTTGCATCCCCATAGACTTGTATAGAAATGCAGACCCAGTTTGAAGTGAACAGCCTGTCGCAAAGGCTGTAACAAGCCAGAGGATCACCATATAATGCAGCTGTACAATTATTCTCAGTCTTGGGATTTCTTTACACTAGGTGACTTTTGTAATACATGTAAACGTCATAGAATTGCATCCATTCCATCAGCCTCATTCTTACCAGAGCAATATGCAGTTGTAGTTATCCTAAATAAAAGACAAGCTGCAGTACAGATTTGGTATATCAACTCACCCCCCACAGTTAATCATGCAAGTTAGTTTAACTAAGACCTTAAAAATCTCAAAGTGGGACATATATTAAATCGGTTTTGCATCATTTAATGTGCAATTTGCAGGTAAAAATGCTAGCATTAATCTTTGGGTCGGCTTTGTGACAAAGTTTCTTAGCCAGTTTCTCAGCCAATGATGAGGGAGAGACTCAGAAGAGCCGGGGCTCTCATGCACATCGCTGGAACTGGCTAAGGTAAGTATTGGGGGGGATGAGGGGCTGCACACTGAAGGTGTTTTTTTTTTTTTTTTTTTTTTACCTTCTTGCATAGAATGCATGAAGGTAAAAAACCTTTAGCCCTTAGAACCACTTTAAAGTGTTATTAATGGCAATTTAAAAAAAAAACAAAACAGACATGTCATACTTACCTGCTTTTTGCAATGGTTGTGCACAGAGCAGCCTCATTCCTCTTCTTCTCAGGTCCCCTACTGACTCCCCTGGCCCTTCCCTTTTGCCTAGTGCCCCCAGCGCATGTAACTTGATATGGGAACACCCAAGCAGGCTCAATCCTTAATGCATGAAGGTAAAAAACCTTAAATCTTTTACAACCACTTTTAAAGGGTTTCAGTCTAGAATATATTCCTATAGAAAACCCAGCGGAGGGCAGTTGACATGTTTCTTCTAATTCCAGAAATCAAGGGGGTGTAGAGCTGTCATTGGTTGAGTTCTCCCTAAATCAGTGTTTGTTTCTTGAATATCAATTAGAGATTTCATTCCGAGTATGGCAGTGTGGTGGAAGTCTGGAAATAATTCCTTGCAGTAGAGTGGGACATGTATTTCGAAAACAGCATCCATATACATTTCCAGGAGGAAGTGGAACAGTGTTTGCCAGGTAAGGGGCCTTTTGGCACATTGTTTGTATTTATTGCTTATTGGTAACTTGCAGGGAAAGAAAAATGGAAACAGTCATTACTAACTTAAAATTTTCAAGCTCCAGGGCTATTATTTTGATCCTGGTTTTGCTACCTAATAAGTAACTAACATGGAAGGTCTGAAATGTCTTTACTTGTACCTGCATTCTTGTTAAAATAAATTGCTCACCAGGTAGCGAATCCAAATTAATCGACCAAATAAGACCATTTTCCATGTCTGTCTTTACTTGTTCCATTTTAAATATACAATATTTAAATAATATGTTGTTTGGAATTACACTGAATGAATCACTAGAATGCTTAGGAGGTATCTATTTGAGAATATACAGAATGTATGTGTGTGTGTACACACACCCTTCAGCATAAAAGTGCACCGCAACAGATTTGTCAGAAAACTTTTACGTTCCTTTCAGAATCAACATTTTCTATGGGGCACTATACTACAAAATACTCCCACAAATGCGGGCCATTGATTGCAAACAAGATTTGTTAATTTGCACACACAAAAAAGTATTTTTCCTAACAAATTCATTCAAGACCATGTTGCAAAAATGAATACACCCCAATGAAAGTCTTAGGAGCAAACCTAAATTTTAAACAAAATCCTAATTAACAAGAATCCAACTACAGGTAAGTCTAATTATTCATTAAAGAGGTTTCCAGCAGACAGTTGATTATAAAAGGGCTTTACTTAACAAAGAAAACCCTTTCCCATTTCATGCTGTCAGCAATAGTACCACATGGGAGAGAGATGTAACACGGCCTGAGAAAATAATTTCTTTACACAAGAAAGGTGAAGGCTACAAGAAGTTCAGCAATGCTTTACTTATCAGTCAGAATACTGTAGCAAAAGTGATATAACATATAACAAAGATGGAACTGCAACCATCTCACAGAGATGCCCAGGCCGCCTACAGAAGTTTGTGCAAGGAGTAACAGGATGAGCACTACCAGAACCCTACAAAATGACCTCCAGCAGGCCACTGGTGTGAATGTCTCTGACCAAACAATCAGAAACAGACTTCATGAGGGTGACCTGAGGGCCCAAAGTCCTCTAGTGGGCCCTGTGCTCACTGACCAGCACCAGAGAGCTCGATTGGCATTTGCCATTGAACACCAGAATTGGCAGGTCCACCACTGGTGCACTGTGCTTTTCACAGATGAGCAGGTTCACCCTGAGCACGTGACAGACATGAAAGGGTCTGGAGAAACTGGAGAATGGTATGCTGCCTGTAACATCGTTCAGCATGGAGGGACTCACAGACCTCTACAGGCTAGACAATGGCTCCCTGACTGCCATTAGGCTTCGGGATAAAAAACCCTGGACCCATTGTCAGACCCCACACTGGTGCAGTGGGTCCTGGGTTCCTCCTGGTGCACAACAATGCCCGGCCTCATGTGGCGAGGGTATGCAGGCAGTTCCTGGAGGATGACGGAATTGATACCATTGAATGGTCCCCACACTCGCCTGACCTAAATCCAGAGAACACCTCTGGGATATCATGTTTCAGTCCATCCAATGCCACCAGGTTTCACCTCAGACTGTCTAGGAGCTCAGTGATGCCCTGGTCCAGATCTGGGAGGAAATACCCCAGGACACCATCCGTCGTCTCGTTAGAAGCATGCCCCGACATTGTCAGGCATGCATACAAGCACGTGGGGGCCATACAAACTACTGAGTACCATTTTGAGTTACTGCAATGAAATTTCAGCAAAATGGACTAGCCTTCTGCATCATTTTTTCACTTTGATTTTCTGGGTGTCTTTGAATTCAGTCCTCTGTAGGTTGGACAATATCAGGGCCATACAAAGCAGTGTGCTTTCAGTTGAAAGCACAGACATCGCTTACTGTGAAACAGCACACAGTTAACCATTTGATCACCCCACATGTTAACCACTTCCTGGCCATTGCTTTTTATTAGCACTGGTCACTCTATTGGTGGCACTGGGGACATCAGTGACACTACGTCAATTCTCCCCAGTGTCGTAATGCCCACCGCAGTCCCGCTATAAGTCGCTGATCGCCGCCATTACTAGTTAAAAAAAAATAAAAAATTTCAGTATCTGTACCGCCATTTGCAAACTCTATAGCTTTCACATAAACCATTAATTTACACGTATTGGGATTTTGTTTTTAGCAAAGGCATGCAGCAGAATACATTTTGGCTTATATTTATGATGAAGTTTGATTTTTAAATTTTTTTTACTGGATATGTTTAATAGCAAAAAGTTAAAAAAAAAATATTTTTTTTTTCTCAAAATTGTCGGTCTTTTTTTTTTCTTTTTTTTTTCTGTTAAAAGCACAAAAAATAAAAAAAACTGTACAGGCAATCAAATACCACCAAAAAAAAGCTTTATTCGTGGAGAAAGAGTGTAAATTTTAATTTGGGTGCAGCGTTGCATGACCGCACGATTGTCAGTTAAAGTAAAGTAATGCCGTAATGCAAAAAATGGACTGGTCAAGAAGGGATGGACCTCAAAACAGAACCTGTGTGTGGTCAGCATAGGTGCCTGTTCAATAAAAAGGTGCTTCTAAATAGACTCTTCAGGAAGGTCGGTATTTATTGATCATAAAAACCATTAATGCTTTTCAGAGCTCCTTAGTGGCCACTTTGCCAGGAAAAGTGTACAGTACATTTTAATAGGTGGGATCTGGGTGTATTGCTTCAGCCCAGAGTATAGTCTGTACAGTACACAGCATACTCTGGGCTAAAGCAGGGGTCTCCAAACTTTCTAAACAAAAGGACAGTTTACTGTCCTTCAGACTTTAGGAGGGCTGGTCTGGTCTATGGCCTTTAAGAGTTGAAATTGTCCTGGTGGTCAGTGGGAGTAAACCATGCATTTTTGGTATTATGGGGAGAAATAGTGCCCCATTGCTGGTTGGGAGGAATAGTGCCCTGTTGGTATTAGTGGGAGGAATATGGCCCCATTGTTGGTGTCAACAAAAGAGCGCAGTTTGGAGACCACTGGGCTAAAGGAATGCACACAGATCCCACTAATTAAAGTGTACTGTACACCTTTTACTGACAGTGTCCACTAAAGAGAAAACGCATTGCTGGTGTTTTAACGTGTTGTTAAGTGGTAATTACGAATTACAGGAGCATTGCAAACTTGGAGTGCAATTATTTCATACAATTTTGAGACGGTGGCAATTTTTTTCGGTCCATTTGGAGTTTTGCGTGGAAAGTGTCATGTTAAATTTGGTTTTTTGTTTATCCACGTTTTTTAGTGTCTAATCAGTACAATCAAAAGAATATAAACATGGAATGCCTAAACATTTGTAATTGCAACAATTTTTTCGGGGTGAAGTGGTACATTATCTGACAAATGCAGGGATGCCAATATTTTTGGGCATGACTGTATTTTTGGTGTGAACAGGGCATATAGAAAATAATTGCTTTCTATGTGCCCTTGCATTGAGCATGCTGTTGTAATATAATATGAATAACTAATAATTGTGGAAACAGGAATATGCAGATGTGTGTACAACGTAACGTTCTCCAAACAAATTTAGGATAGTTAACCTCAGTTCTTTTCTAAAGAGTGTGGTGTTTGTTGACATGTCATCTATTGCATCCACAAGTCCTGAGCTACTAGTCAGGCATTAAGAGTTACTCGCCACCACCACAAACACAGAGACAGCTGTACACACACACAGGCATGTACATACACACAGACAAAAACATGTACACACACGCACACACATACAGACACATGTATACACACACAGGCACGTACAGACACGCATACACACAGATACATGTACATACACAGAAATACGCACACACATGTACATACATACACACACAGACACATGTACATACATATACACACACACACACACACAGATACATGTACATACACAGAAATACGCACACACATGTACATACATGTACACAGACACATGTACATACATACATATATACACACATACACATACATGTACATACACGCAGACACATGTACAGATACACACATGTACATGCATACACAAACACACACACATGTACACGTACACACACACACCATAAAAAGTTGCAGTACTTTGTTGTTCACTCACAGAGCCGGGTACTGCACTCTAGGGGGAGGCAGAGAGCACATCACACACTCCTTCGTGCTTTCACTGCGCTCAGCTATTGAACAGTCTGACGGCTCCCAGTGCCAATGACCGATCCGGCCTGAGCTCCGAGCCTGCTCAGCAAGACGGCCCTGGGGGACACACTCCCCCTCACCATGATTTCCACTCGCCATTGGCGAGCACGGGAGTGGAAATGTCAAGCCCTGCAATAGAGTATCTGCAAAATAATGCAATCATCTGAATCCTTAAGTCCCCCATTCTCTTGTCATAGCCTAGTAAGCATATGGATACTATACCCATTCAGCATATACTGTATGTCCAGTCTATTTCAGCACCTACGAGGCTATATATATATATATATATATATATATATATATATATACAGTCATGGCCGAAATTGTTGGCACCCTTGATATTTCTCCAGGAAATCATGTATTTCTCACGAAACGTATTGCATTAACACATGTTTTGCTATACACATGTTTATTCCCTTTGTGTGTATTGGGACAAAACAAAAAAAGGGAGGAAAGAAAGCAAATTCGACATAATGTCACACAAACCTCCAAAAATGGGCTGGACAAAAGTATTGGCACCCTTTCACAACTGCGGATAAATAAGAATGTTACAAGCATGTGATGCTCCTGTAAACTCACCTGGGGCAAGTAACAGGTGTGGGGCAATATAGAAATCACACCTGAAAGCAGATAAAAAGGAGAGACGTTCACTTAACCTTTGCATTGTGTGTCTGTCTGTGCCACACACTAAGCATGGACAACAGAAAGAGGAGACGAGAACTGTCTGAGGACCTGAGAACCAAAATTGTGGCAAAATATCAACAATCTCAAGGTTACAAGTCCATCTCCAGAGAACTAGATTTGCCTT